TTTTGTTTGGTTGAGTCCGATTCCGGGATTCGAACACACACACACACACACACACACACACACACACACACACACACACACACACACACACACACACACACACACACACACACACACACACACACACACACACACACACACACACACACACACACACACACACACACACACACACACACACACACACACACACGCACACACACACACACACACACACACACACACACACACACACACACACTCAGAGTCAGGCACCTAATCGCAAGCACACAAAGTCTTAAGTTGAAGTTGAAGGTGGCCAGTCCTTGAATTCCTATGAGCTACTATCGCCAAACAGCAAACCCATTTGCTAGTCAGTGATGCAGACACGAAGAATACAAATTGTTTTCATGACTGAGTGAGTTTAGTTTTACGCCGAGCTCAGGAATATTTTAGCTATATGGTGGCGGTCTATTCACAATATTACCAATGAAATGATTCCATGTCACAATAACCTTTTATCTGGAACGAGTCACTACTGTCCGTCTAATAGCACTTATGAAATACACTACTGTCCGTCTAATAGCACTTATGAAATACACGACTGTACGTCTAGTAGCACTTATGAAATACACTACTGTCCGTCTAATAGCACTTATGAAATACACGACTGTACGTCTAGAAGCACTATGAAAAACACTACTGTCCGTCTAATAGCACTTATGAAATACACGACTGTACGTCTAGAAGCACTTATGAAATACACGACTGTACGTCTAGAAGCACTTATGAAATACACGACTGTACGTCTAGAAGCACTTATGAAATACACGACTGTACGTCTAGAAGCACTTATGAATAACACGACTGTCCGTCTAATAGCACTTATGAAATACACTACTGTACGTCTAATAGCACTTATGAAATACACGACTGTACGTCTAGAAGCACTTATGAAATACACTACTGTCCGTCTAGAAGCACTTATGAAATACACGACTGTACGTCTAGAAGCACTTATGAAATACACGACTGTACGTCTAGAAGCACTTATGAAATACACGACTGTACGTCTAGAAGCACTTATGAAATACACGACTGTACGTCTAGAAGCACTTATGAAATACACGACGTGTAGAAGCACTTAGAAGCACTTATGAAGCACTTATGAAATACACGACTGTACGTCTAGAAGCACTTATGAAATACACGACTGTACGTCTAGAAGCACTTATGAAATACACGACTGTCCGTCTAATAGAACTTATGAAATACACTACTGTCCGTCTAATAGCACTTATGAAATACACGACTGTACGTCTAGAAGCACTTATGAAATACACGACTGTACGTCTCGAAGCACTTATGAAATACAGGACTGTACGTCTAGAAGCACTTATGAAATACACGACGTTACGTCTAGAAGCACTTATGAAATACACGACTGTACGTCTAGAAGCACTCATGAAATATACGACTGTACGTCTAGAAGCACTTATGAAATACACGACTGTACGTCTAGAAGCACTTATGAAATACACGACTGTCCGTCTAGAAGCACTTATGAAATACACGACTGTACGTCTAGAAGCACTTATGAAATACACGACTGTACGTCTAGAAGCACTTATGAAATACACGACTGTACGTCTAGAAGCACTTATGAAATACACGACTGTACGTCTAGAAGCACTTATGAAATACACGACTGTACGTCTAGAAGCACTTATGAAATACACGACCGTCCGTCTAGAAGCACTTATGAAATACACGACTGTACGTCTAGAAGCACTTATGAAATACACGACTGTACGTCTAGACTCATTGAAGACACGATTGTTCGTCTTGGAATACTCAGGAAAATTAGGCTGTCGGGCTAAATATTCTCATGAAATACTCGAATCAGCCAGCAAGATGGAAGGTGCGTCCTGTTGTGACGCGCTATAAATTTAGTTTAAATAGCATCGTTTTGTATGTGGTGAGGCAGCATGTGTTCGGCCAGCATGTTTTCGGCCAGCATGTTTTAATTATACTTTTGTGTATTCCGCGAAGCAAGTCGCATTCAAACTGTCTGTCAAATATTCATAATGATGAAATACTGAACTGTAGGTCAAGAAATGATCATGAATTTCACAGTTGTCCGCCTAGACATGCTCACAAAACACTCGACTATACGGCCAGAAATACTCGTGAATTTTACGACTGTCACTCCAGACAAACTGACGAAATAATGGCCTGTCCGGAGTAATCAGCTGTCCGTCTAGATTTACTCAAGTTCGACTCTCGGTTTAGAGCTTCTCCTGAAATAGTTCACTGTTAGTCTAGAAATACTAACTTCGTCTGGAAACAGTGAGGAAATACACGACTGTGCGTCTAGAAATATTCATGAAACAATCCAGAATCTGTCTAGAAATGTTTCTGAAATACACGAATGTTCGTCAAGAAGCTGTCCGTCCATTCTTCAAATGTCTTCAGTCAGTCCACGAATACTCAAGAAATACTCGAATGCTCTTTCGGCATATGTGCAATACTCGTTCTTTGCACGTTGCAATACGTTTACAGTCAAAAGTTCACAACCGACGCGAATCCAGGAACGACAGAACGAACCCTGTACAGGATCCCTGCACAGCAAGGTTCACAACTCTTAAATCACTTCACTATGACAGGCCATCTTTAGGAAGAACTGGGGCGGTGGGGTAACCTAGCGGTTAAAGCGTTCGTTGTCACGCCGAAGACCCTGGTTCCATTCCCCACATGGGTACAATGTGTGAAGCACATTTCTGGTGTCCCCCGCCATGATATTGCTGGAATATTGCTAAAAGTGGCGTAAAACTGAAGTCACCATCAACCTTAGGAGGAACTCCAATATACTTTTTCTTCGTCCTGCTGCTTTGGTTTCTTCCTCTGAAGACCTTGTCAGACAGGAATAACAGTGTGTCTTTATTGGATGCATTACGACGGTTCTGCTTTAATCTATCAGTTCGTGGCTACCATTGTGTTGCTCTGCCAGATCTGCTTACAAAGACATTTATTGACAATTATGAGGGTTCTACATACCCAACTGATATCATTACTGGCCAATCAAAGAGAGATGAATTGGTATCGATCATCACTTCAAAGTCTCAGGAGAAAGTATTCAGGTTGATAATTATCCGTTACCGGACATAGATATATGTAAGCATACCTATTACCTTTGTCATCAAAATATACAAGACGTTAATTATGAAAGCAAATGGGAATTAAGGAACTGATGATAATCATGAAATAACGTCATTTCCTATTTTCTCGACGCCATGCAAGGGATAGGAAATGTACCGAAGTGGCGTCCTGCAGTGCTGATAGTAAAGTTAGTCGTCAGTCACACTTTCCTAGCCACAAAAGTGTTACATACACATGGGAAATCGTCATCTTTTTAAATCAATGTGGGGGCGGTTAGGTAGTCTATTGGTTAAATCGTTCGCTCGTCACGCCTAAGACCCGGGTTCGATTCACCACTTGGGTAACATGTGTGAAGCCTATTCCTGATGTACCCCGCTTGGATATTGCTTGCATGTTGCTGAAAGCAGCGTAAAACCTTACTCAACGCCGTTAGTATTGCAAATATTGTCTTTGCCATCAACCATTTCTTACTATGGTTCAGCCTCGGTTACTAACAGGCCCTTGTGCTTACAAATGCTGTTGAATGTAGGGTTGATCAACATTCCCCATTTATTGGTTATATGACGGAAACATAACTGTGTGAAAAACTGATTATCCTGTAATTAAACATTGCATCTTCCAATGTATATTTATGAAGATATCAACTCGATTTACTTCGTGATTCACAGTGTGCAGGTGATTGTTAATGCACGGCGCAAAAACTGGATGTTAGAGTGTTTGCCGGAAACATGATAGCGTGTTTTATAGCACAGGTGTTTGTACAGAACAGAACAGAACAGAACAGAACAGAACAGAACAGAACAGAACAGAACAGAACAGAACAGAACAGAACAGAACAGAACAGAACAGAACAGAACAGAACAGAACAGAACAGAACAGAACAGAACAGAACATTTATTACTTTCAGGCCACTATCCGTGGCGTACGAAGTTCAATGTACAATATTATTCAAAATACGTGCATGCTATATGTATGTGCATACTAACTCAGATGTATTGTATAAGGGTAAATGAGATTATGTGCTTATCTAGAGGACCTGTAACTAGCATTAGGCGATAAAAGAGTTTACTTAACTGTAAGTACAGATGTGTCCTTACTGATAAATAGTAAGTTTGACACGTTTGGATGAAAATACAAGTATGGTGACAACATTATTTTGTATATTCACTAAAATCTTCGCAACACAAACGTTTATGGTATTAATCACCAACACAGTTCTTCTGTCATATGTTACAGGTTCGTATGAAAGAGTTAGAATTTTGAGACTGCCAAATGCACATAAGACCGGTTTTTCTAACGATAGATTCTAATGAACAGATCCCCTCATTCAAGTTTGGTGACACTTGAGTTTAACCGCACATAGCCCTCCTCATGCGCCGTCCCCTACGCTCCCCCGACATTGTGTAGATCGATGCTCATGCTGTTGATCACTGGATTGTCTGGACCAGACTTGGTGCACTCTTGTTGGTAAACACACCCTTGCTGACACCATTGCAAATCACAGAATAAGTGAAAGGTCAGAAGGTATGTTATGTAATATATACTTGGCAAAAAAAGAAACGCATAACTAAAATCTGTTTTTCAAGGAAGAATGATTTTAAGATGAAGGCTTGAAATCAATATAACTGTCATTGCTAACTGTGAATACAGCCCTTACACTAATTCATTGCACACGAACGCAACATTTGGTGAACTGTCGCCAACAGCACCTTGAATTAAACTGGGAGAAATCGCATGGAGAAAAAGCTGTAAGCATGTTGCACGTGCAAATACGGGTACTAAAGTTTCATACCGGTGGGTATAAAAATCTGACATTCCCGTTGCGAATCACTCTAAGCTGTTCCGTATAAGCAACCCTCAAGATGCCAAGACTGAATGAAGACACTAGAAACAGAGCCATTGGACGCCTGGAAGCTGGAGAATGTCCGTCATCAGTAGCCAGGCACTTCAACGTGAGGCAGAGCACCATCTCCCGCCTGTGGCAGCGCTGCAGGCTCCTCAAGTCTACAAGAGATCGACCGAGAACTGGTAGACCAAGGATCACAACTCAGGTCCAGGACCGCTTCACCCGGCTGTTGCATTTGCGCAACCGGACAATCAGTGCAGCATACACAGCCAACAATGTCACTGGGCTTCGTAGAGTATCAGCGCAAACCATCAGAAATCGCCTACGACAGCATGGGATACACCAATGCGACCATATACAGCGCCTGTTCTGCGGCATCATTATCGTCGTGCACGTCCGCAATGGAGCAGAAACGTTCGACCATGGACCCTTGTGCACTGGAGGAGGATCTGGTTTAGTGATGAGTCGCGGTTCTTGCTGTATCACCATGATGGTAGGATGCGTGTGTACCGACGGAGAAATTAACGCTACACTCGACACTGTATTCGTGAAGTCGATAGATACGGCGGTGAAAGTGTCATGATGTGGGCATACATATCCTTGTATGGTAGGACAGATCTGGTGCACGTGCAGGGACATTTAACTGCTTTACACTACCGTGATGGAATCCTCCAACGTCACCTTATTCCCGCCATTGACGTCAGAAGGGAGATTTTCCAGCAAGACAACGCCAGAGCGCATACTTCACGTGTTACCATGGATTATCTTGCCAACAACAATGTTAATGTGCTGCCATGGCCATCCAAATCGCCGGATCTCAACCCCATTGAACGTTTGTGGGATGTGCTCGACAGACGTGTACGACGCCGACAGCCTCAACCACAGACGCTACAACAGCGGAGCCATGCATTGCATGATGAGGGGAGAAGGATTCCACAACGCCAGATTCGACGAGTCATTCAGTCCATGCCCAGGCGGTGCACAGCAGTGATCGATGCTCGTGGTGGTCACACCACGTACAGACTTTGTCACAGTGCCGTCACAGACACAGATGTCCCCAAGAGCATTAAATGACTGTATGCAGTGGAGGAACCCTGTGTAAAATTTGGTTGTTGTACATTCTTTATTTATTTTGTAATCCGATTTTATAAAACACGTAAAGGTAAACTGATATTTAGGTTATGCGTTTCTTTTTTTGGGCCAGTGTATTTTTAACCTAAGTGTCATTTAAGTTCACTAATCATTAGTTTCGAGTGGTAAGTTAATTGCTAATAGCAAAGGGGTTGGGAATAGTATACCTTCAAACATACAGAGTAGTTCAATGTCTGTCTCGAAATACTACAAGGTATGTTTTTTTTTATTATTTGGCCTTATGCGGGATTGATACTCACTGTTTACCGGACAAGAAATATATCAATATGACCATTACGATTTCAAAGGACAAATAAAATGATGCCATATGTTATCCTAACCCACATTTAATCAAACATGTAATCTGTTTTATAGGTAGTCTATACTAGAATATATTTGCAAAATGCATGCTGGTTACAAGTTAAAGATTTCAATTAGTATTCACTTTTCCGACGTCTTTGAAATATCTACGTGCATCAATAAACCAGTTGTTTCATTATGAATTTAAGACGTAGTTTTATTATATTGTTTGCGCAAGACGCATGTTTCAATGAGCAACTGACAACTAAGGCAATTAGTCACAGGAATGAAGCTGTCCGACTTTACAGTAGTGGTAGTGATGAGCAACAGTTAGTGACAACTAAGGCAATTAGTCACAGGAATGATGCTGTCCGACTTTACAGTAGGGGTAGTGATGAGCAACAGTTACTGACAACTAAGGCAATTGGTCACAGGAATGATGCTGTCCGACTTTACAGTAGGGTTAGTGGTGAGCAACAGTTACTGACAACTAAGGTAATTGGGCACTGGAATGATGCTGTCCGACTTTACAGTAGGGGTAGTGGTGAGCAACTGGCAGCTAAGGCAATTGGTCACAGGAATGATGCTGTCCGACTTTACAGTAGGGTTAGTGATGAGCAACAGTTACTGACAACTAAGGCAATTGGTCACAGGAATGATGCTGTCCGACAGTTACTGACAACTTTACAGTAGGGGTAGTGATGAGCAACTGACAACTAAGGCAATTGGTCATTGGAATGATGCTGTCCGACTTTACAGTAGGGTTAGTGATGAGCAACTGACAACTAAGGCAATTAGTCACAGGAATGATGCTGTCCGACTTTACAGTAGGGTAAGTGATGAGCAACTGGCAGCTAAGGCAACTGGTCACAGGAATGATGCTGTCCGACTTTACAGTAGGGTTAGTGGTGAGCAACAGTTACTGACAACTAAGGCAATTGGGCACTGGAATGATGCTGTCCGACTTTACAGTAGGGGTAGTGGTGAGCAACTGGCAACTAAGGCAACTGGTCACAGGAATGATGCTGTCCGACTTTACAGTAGGGTTAGTGGTGAGCAACAGTTACTGACAACTAAGGTAATTGGTCACTGGAATGATGCTGTCCGACTTTACAGTAGGGGTAGTGATGAGCAACTGACAACTAAGGCAATTAGTCACAGGAATGATGCTGTCCGACTTTACAGTAGGGGTAGTGATGAGCAACTGACAACTAAGGCAACTGGTCACAGGAATGATGCTGTCCGACTTTACAGTAGGGTTAGTGGTGAGCAGGATATCTACCGGAAGCGGACTGTTCAGGAGGTACCGGCAAAAGTACAGCTAATTATACCAACAGACACGTTAACTTCCGTATCGGCGCAGACATCTCTCTGAACATCACCATCAGGATTTGAAAACCTCACTCAGAATGACATCTGAAAATTGCTGCGAATAAAGTTTGTGCACAATCACGTGTTTTGTCATTTGTTGAAAAGTAGTTCCGGTCAGAGGTTTAATTCGTTATTGTAGTGGTTAAACCGAGGGTTGAAACAAAGGACTCTGAGTTTAAAGATCGTGAGTTAACGTCTTTTCAAACGCTTGGATTATGGATGAAAATCAACATATATAAATTATTGATTAAACAAGTCAGAATTTAAAGAAACTAAACAGAGCACGAAGAGTTCCACGATCGAATTGACATGACACCAGAGCATACGTGCCAGATATTGGTGATCTAAGTGAAGCTTTACAAACGATTTCATGACATATATGAGGGGCAGTTCCAAAAATTAAGTGTCAACAGTGATGACCAATGCACTTATCTATTTTGACCTATACGATAACTTCCTGTGTTTTTTGTGTGTGAACAACTGACTTGCCTTGCCTTTGCATGTGTGTGACAAATGTTGTGTATTTGTGTGTGTGTGTGTGTGTGTGTGTGTGTGTGTGTTGCTTCCATGACATCTTCGAGTTCAATACAAAACATCCAAATGCACTAGTATAACCTTCTATACTTATTAAATACCCTCTTATCTTGCATTAATCTGTTACTTAATGAAATAAGAAAGTAGAAGCACGTCATCCGTATTGCACCCCTGTGTTACTATCCTACGTTTACATATGTATATAATAAATCCTTAAACGAACGTTAGAGAATGTTCTGTACAAGATGTTCTATTTTTATCATTAGTGAAGCCCATTTCTGGTGTCCCTCGCCGTGATTGCTAAAAACGGCGCAAAACCAAACTCAGTTAGTCAGTCAGTTTAAGTTTATCAGTTTATTTACGGCAACGAAAATGTCAGTATCATAGCAACACGTCACTTGAATTGGATAAGTGACGCCTGAAAAATTTCCGTTTCTTATAACACAAATTTGGCAAATTGAAGTTTTATATCAAATAAAAAATACCAGAGCACTTCATTAAATATTTAATGAAGTATTTTTCATCATGATGAAGGCTTTCTTATTTTGTTATCTGTGAGTCGGCTTTAAAGAACTAATTTAACTGCGAAGCTACCTTGTCCAGTTTCAAGATCGCATTTGTTGTTTGCAGTAACTATGACGAACGGCTCTGACGTAGGGCCAGTTGATTGCAAATTTATTTAAACAGAAAGGTTTGTTTCCAACTGCATGAATAGTGACATTGGAACTCTTATACCGAAAATAAGCATCCTATGCTCAAGGGACACCCAAGGGTCATTTCTACGGGCAATGATTAACCTATTTGTACATGCATTACTTATTGCCACTCCTTAGCCATTGAAGAGATGATAATAAATGTCATTAATAAGACTTCAACAAGCTGAAATACAACAGGTAATCGGAATAAGGATTCGTGATTTCCAATGTGATGAGCGAGTTACCGCAAACCTGAACCAAGCGCTATAACGGCCATCAAATATGTCTGCCTGCAAGAACCGGAAGCGGATATATGCCCCATGGGAAATCAGGGTTTGTGGCGGCCATTGTTACAAAGCGGCGGTGACAGAAATGATGCAAATTGACTTCGTCAGACTGCGTATCACGGGCCCATAATTCATTTTAAATACATTATCTCGCGTTGATTGTAACAGAACGCTTTCACTTTGTCACCGGTCTCTCGGTAAGTCGATAATGGGACCTTCCGGCATCTTGATCTCGGATGACATTCATAGAAGCATTTTGTATCGTAGATGAATATTACATAATCAATTTCTGTTATTGCCGTGCCTCGCGATTTGCCTGTGGGCGTCTTCTATTCAAATGTGAGGAAGAGGATTGTTGGCCATATGACCCCCTCTTTATCTGGTTATGATCAGGCTCATATCGCCAATCAATTTTGACATATATCGGTCTTGGCAATCGGTCTTCGTCTGTTGAGAACAGTTTCTATTGTGTTGGTTTTTGTGTGTGTTTGATCCACTAGAACTACCAAATTCACATTATGAAGGATAGATGTAACAGCCCTTTATCACCAATTTCTTACTTCAGCCTTCGCTTTCAGTTAGTGTTTTATTTGAATATAGATATAAGCTGTTATCATCTTGTAATTTCGGTTCCTTTGAACGATTCTGACTATATCATCAACCTGTTCAAGAATGACTTTCTCACAGTGATGAAATCAGGTGTTCACGGAAAGGTAGACCACCGGTTACCACCCATCATAAACACATACAAAGGCAAGTAAATTACCCATCTGAAGAAAAACACCATGGAAACGTATGGTACAAGTCAAGATAGATAAACGAATCAGCCATCATCCTTTGCCACTGATTTGTCAAATTTGCGAAATATCCTCCTCCTGTCAACCATAGATCTTTCTGAGAGCTGTACCAAGGCTTGCTTGTTGTAACCTGATTAAATACATTTTGAGCAACAGTCGTACGAGGCTGTATGACATTTTCGTAAAATAGGACAACATGTAAACTTAAGTAATCAGACCGGAATATAAAACTGATTTGGTTTAGTTCTTGCGCGTTTTTAACGGTAAAATATTTTATATCCTCACGATGATCTGACAATGATTTGAAAACAGAAACTCCTATCAAATGACGTTGTAAAGGGAAATGTGATTGTGATCTCCTTGTACTTAGAATACAGGGATGTAGGTTACAAAAGCTATCTTGAAGTCATAAATCCGATTGTTATATTACGCCTGAATGGTGAGATTGTTTGAAATACCAAATAAATA